TGATTAGCTGTGGTGGCCTTCTGGAACTGGCTTGATCCTGTAAGTCTATCAAAGATGTACATCCAATAATCTAAGAGTGTCTTTAAATACATACACTAGTATGCAAGATATTTTGCAACACTGTAGACAAACAGATACCCACATGCACACAATTCTACTTCTTTTGTCTTTTCCCTCTTCGGGGGTCACTGCAGAAAGTCATCCTCCTCCATCTCTGTCCTCTGCATCCTCTGTCTTCACTCTAACCACTCAGCCACAGCTGCCCCTTGTGAGACCAGCTATGTTTTATGGTCTGGAGACAGAGACATGGACAAAAAGACAGGAGACAAAACTGGAAGTAGCAGAAATGAAGATGTTGAGGTTCTCCTAAGGAATGACAAGGATGGATGAGATTAGGAATGAGATCATCAGAGGTACAGCACAGGTTGAACAACTGGGAGATAAAGTTGAGAGACCAGACTGAGATGGTTTGGACATGTCCACAGGAGGGACAGTGGGTATACTGGTAGAAGGATGTTATAAATGCAGCTGCCAGGAAAAATACAAAGAGGAGATGTATGGATGCAGTTACAGAAGACATGGAGGTGGTTAGAGCAGTCGTCCTCCAGTGCAAGAGTTGGGGGTTCGAATCCACCAGCAGTCACATGTCGAAGTGTCCCTGGGCAAGACACTGAACCCCTCATAGCCTCTGATGTGTGTCCCATCAGTGTATGAATGTGATCTAAAGCTCTGATTAGTCTCTATATAAGGTGCTATATAAGTACAGTCCATTTACCACTGTCTTGTAAACTTTTCCTTTGACCTTTGCTGACACACTTTTGTCACAAATCACTCCTGAAACTTTTCTCCATCCACTCCATCCTGTCTGGACTCTCTTCTTCACATCTTTACCACATTCCCCACTTTCCTGGACAGTGAACCCCAAGTCCTTGAAGTCCTGCACCTCTGTGACCTCTGCTCCTTGTATCCTCACTGTTCCACAGACCTCCCTCTCATTCACACACATGTACTCTGATGAGCACAAATCCTTATCACCCGATGATTGGTATTGGTTGTGGGCGATAAGCATCCACAGATGTACAGTTAAAATGAATGCTCCAATACTGAATCGCTGCATTCTTGAACTTTACTTTGACATAACTCTGCAGACCAGGCACACATAGGAGTTAGTGTTAACCACAAGAGGGCAGCAATGACATGCTTTGTATTCAGAACAGTCACTACCACACTGTAAATGCAGGCAGGAGAGAAAATACAGAAGTTACACACTTCATTATGTTGTTGCAACTGGACACTTGACCAGTTTCAACGAATTCCATGATAAAGTGTACCATTTTGCACAACAACTTGAGAAAAAGAGCATATGCCTGCTCTGACAGATAATGTGTCTGCCAGTGTGTTTGCGTGCTGGTGTAAATTTATCTGTAGCATTAGCAAAATATCTCACAAACCACAGGACCGATTTTAATGAAACTCTTAGACACTAATGGCACTTTGGTTGGCCTTGTTGCTGCTTTAAGTGCTTTATAAATAAAGTGGTATAGTATGGTATGGTATGGTATGGTATGGTACGGTACGGTACGGTACGGTACGGTACGGTACGGTATGGTATGGTGCTAATAATTGGATATACACATACAACTAATTACTTTAGGAGTCAAACCCATTTGAGATGACAGCCTCAGCTAAGCAACCTAATCATTCACCAAATGGCTTGTTTTTAGTCAATGTTACAGATACTGAGCTAAAGTTTAGTTGTGATAGTAGCTAAAAGTCATCCTCAGCACATTTTCTGAGCACTAACACATTTAGCAAGATTTCACAGCACAAGTTTTGAGCAAAAACAGAAAGAACTTGGTGTCTTCTCAACATCAGAGTGGCCTAAAAGGTGACAGGTGATGAACATCCCTTCAAGGAAAGCTAGATCTTTAATTAAGGTGAGTTTGACTTTGCTTCAGTAATTAGTAGCTGAGGAGCTCCTATCTGTGCAGCAGGGCCAGTCTGTCTGTGGAACGCTGCGTAGACATGTTATCATCGGAGAAATATGTCTACAATTTGCATTGAAATTTACCTGACTGGAAAACAACTTTATTTTGGCGTCATCAAGGGATTAGTGCTGTAATAACAAAGTGTCATCATAATAATTGCTACACCAGTCCCATGGAAGTGTGCATGCTTTTACAAAGATTGCACAACACTGCTTCAACCTTGGATAACGGATATAACAAAAGTACTTTGAACAAAGATTTGCTTTTTACAATTTTTACAGGGACAGTTTAGAGTTACCAGTCAGCCTAACGTGCATGTTGATGTTCTGTGGGAGGAAACCGGAGCACCCGCAGAAAACCCACGCATGCACGGAGAGAACATGCAAACTCCACCCAGAAAGGCCCCCAGCCTGGATTTGATCCGGCGACCTTCTCGCTGAGAAGGTTGTGTGTTCTCGATTCTGTCGTTTTTGTTCATGAATTACAAAACAGATTTTAAAGAACCCTTCTTTATACAGTATGTACCTGTACATCCAGAACTGATTAACTTTTGTGGTCAACCGGATCTATGATGGCCACCACAGTGAAGTAATCTTAGCCAATATATTGGTTATAACTGTTTTACATATGTTCTGCTTAAATGTGGTGTGGTGGTAGATAACAGTCATTCACAACACTTGTTCTAACTGGGAACTTGGAACTTCAGCTGAAATACCCATGAAATTGCACAACATGTTATTTTCCAGGTTTGCCTGCCTACTCCTTTCCCATAGGTGATCTTATTAAAACTCTGGCATGGAAAGTGGCGGGCAATATGCATATCTTCAGGGGATACTTGGCCTTTGCTTTTGTTAGACTAGTCCAAGAACCTTTATACTAGGTATAGTTTTAAAGTTCGACTTATGAGATTGCGTTTATGCCTCTGGTTGGTTGTTGTCTTGTTTACTGTGTATATTTAAAAAATAACGGGTTTAAATCCAGAGTAGCTGTCAAAATATCCAAATGTTCAATGATTTTTTTGATAAATGTTTATGCTTTTAACACAGTTTTACCCCAATTAAATTATTGTTTGGGGATTGATATAATTCAAACTTATCAGGGTCTTAGTTAAAAAAAATATATATTTTGCATTCGAAAACAGCAAATATTTTTCGCTTAAGTTTATGACAATTTAGCGATCAGCAGTGGTGGGCACAGCTAACCAATAACTTAACTTTGCTAATCCAAATTCCACTAACTCAAAAATTAGTTTTGCTAACACTAATTCGCTAAACAGATAAAAAAAAAAAAAAAAGAAGGAATTAGTGCAAGCTAACATTAAACTGCTAACCTCTTAGACGACTGTCACTCAGTCTGTGTCACGTCTCCGTCTCCTTCCAGTTGAAGCTGCATCAGTCAGTCTCGTCTTGTCACGTGTAAGCTAGACCCTAATGGATACTTTGAGACAACAGACAGGGAAAAGCTTGTGAACTTTGGTAGTATAAAGTTGGTGAAACCAAATTAAGCAAAAGGTAATTCCGCTAACAATTTCCAAATCCAGTGAAAACGTTAATCTATTAGATGATGTTGATGTTGGGCGGCTGTGGCTGAGTGATTAGAGCAGTCGTCCTCCAATGTGAGAGTTGGGGGTTCAAATCCACCAGCAGTCACATGTCGAAGTGTCCCTGGGCAAGACACTGAACCCCTCATAGCCTCTGATGTGTGTCCATCAGTGTATGAATGTGATCTAAAGCACTGATTAGTCTCATTAGAATGATTTGTTCAATTAGCTTTGTAGAGATCTAGTAGAGTGCTGTATGAATGGGTAAATGAGGCACAGATTGTGTTGTAAAGAGCTTCGAGTATCTTGAAATAAGATAAAAAGGCGCTATATAAGTACAGTACATGAAAAATTAGTTCCACTATTAGGGACTGTCTTAGCAGTTAGCAGTTTAGCATTAGCTTCTGCTATTTATTTATTTATATTTTTTACGTGTTTAGCGGATTAGTGTTAGCAACGCTAATTTTTTAGCTAGTGGAATATGGGTTAGCAGGCAGCACGGTGGCGCAACTGGTAGAGCTGCTGCCTCTCAGCGAGCAGGTCCCTGGTTCAAATCCTGGTCCGGGGGCCTTTCTGGCTGGAGTTTGTTCTCTCCGTGCATGCATGGGTTTTCTCCGGGTACTTCGGTTTCCTCTCACAGACCAAAAGCATGCATGTTAAACTGATTGGTAACTCTAAATTGTTCCTAGGTGTGAGTGAGGAAGTGAATGGTTGTTTGTCTCATTTGTCTCTTTGTGTCCCTGTGATAGACTATAGACCTGTCCAGGGTGTCCCCCGCCCCTTGCACAATGATTGCAACCCCCGAGACCCAAAATGGAAGAAGCGGGTAAAAGATAATGGATGGATGGATGAATATGGGTTAGCAAAGCTAACTTTTGGGTTAGTGTGCCCACCACTGGTGAGTCATGAATGGCTAGAGGGAGGAAAAAGATGGACTGGTGTGTGCAGCCATTTTGAGGGACTGTCTTATGAAAGAGCCCTATTTTGGCTTTATTATTAATTAAATAGAGTAAACAACAAAGTCCATGCTCAATAATCCAGGTATGCAATCCAATATTTTTCAGTCAGGACAGCACAAAAAAATAAACTGTCCAGATGACCTGACTGAAAAATGTTAAACAGAGTAAAGTGTAAAAACAATGCTTTCTCTTCAAGAGGGGACGTCTTGTGGTGTTTTTTAAGACAAATAATAAATATAGAAAATGAAGTTCCGAAGTGAAGCTTTAGTTATTGTTTTAAAGGGGCTGACTGACCAGAGACCCACGTAGTGGGAGTGACCCCCTGTCCGCATTACTTCCCGCACCGCCCCTGTGGTGGGATGGGAGCGCGTGAGAGTGTGAAGAGAAAAGCCAAGAAAAGAAGACAGGGCAAGAGGAAGAAGGAGAAGGAGGAGTAGGATAGGAGGTCTGGCTCTAAACCCCGCCTCCCCCTCTAGGATCATTTCTTCTTCTTCACGGCCCTTCCACGCTGGAGGACAGAAAGAGAAAGAGAAGAAGAAGGGCAGCAGCGCAGCGACCATGGCCTCAACCACCGCGTCTCAGCGAGAGACAGTGTCCGACCCGAGCGCACCTCTGCCGCCGCCGCCCGCTGCCCGGAGCCCGCAGACCCCCAGGACCCAGAGCCCGGATGAATGAGAGGATCTGGACCGGGGCCGTGGACAAACATGAGGGTCCTCTTCACACAAAACGCCGGTTTCGTCGCAGCTTTTTCGCCTCTTTTGTGATGTTGGAGGCGTGTAGGACGATGTGAACAAAACAGCTGAATTATATCAGTAGAGCAGCGAGGAGATCAATTATTTGGCTTCTTTTTACCCCTTTATTTCAATGGGATAGAGCTTGGATATATATCTATTTATATTTAAATCATAGCCAACATATTTGAATGGAGAACGTGTTCAGCCTCCGGTAAGCACACAGCTGTCGAAAACTGAACACAGTATATTTTAATACGTTATTAACACTATAAGATGCAGCGATAGCATGTGTTAGGTTATTATGAGACGATTATTTTAAATTATTTTGGTTAATTAGTAATCCGTCACTATATTATAGCAACATGAAAAGGCAAGTGGAGCCATTTCTGCCAATTATATCAATCAAGACAATCAGTGAAAACTAGATTCCTCATGTGATGATATCACTTGTAATTTATTTATTTATTATTACTAGTTTTAGTCTGTTATTAAGCTTATAGGTGATATAGGATCTTTTTGTTTTGAGTAGGGCGTTGAATCATATTTAACAGTGTAGTGAGATGGAGAGCGCTCGTTTATCCCCCCGCCGGGGGGCCACCCGGCTGGAGGCTCAATTGAGAGGCACAGGCGGAGCAGAGTGCACGGCGGCTGGGGGGGTCCTTCCCCCAGGTAACCCCGCTCCACCTCCACCTGCTCCCGGCAGCTCACCTGAGGAGCCCCCGGCCTACAACAGCAGCGACGGCCGGAGGAGCTCGGGCGTGAAGAAGCACCACCACAAGCACAACCTGAAGCACCGCTACGAGCTCCTGGAGACGCTCGGGAGAGGCACCTACGGCAAGGTGAAGAAGGCCATCGAGCGGCACTCCGGCAGAGAAGTGAGTCACTCAGCAAGTATCAATGAGATGGTTTGTGTTGTTCTGGTTCTTTGGTGAGGCCCAGACGCTTTGGCCTCAGATGGTGAGTTGCACTCAGAGGCTTGTTGTGGGAATCCCCCCATACGCTCCAAAACAAGACCCATGGGGCCATTGGAGTTGTGCTGCACACGCTTTGTCCTGTGCAGGGCCTCACGACCGGATGCTGGAGTTCAAATCCGGCAAACTGACAGACTAATGTGACCTGTGAACCCTGTAAGCATCATGCCAACCAGCCAACCCCCACCCCAAAGATAACATAAAAGAAAAGGCTACTGTGTCAGAGTTTATTTACCAGTATCCAGCAGAGACAAACCACTTTTCTCATTTATCTGGTGCAACCCTGCAAGATGCTTTACCTGCAAAGTACCTTGAAGAACAGGTACGGGTACTAAAGAGGCTGTAGTTGCAACAAACACTGATTACATTTCCTTTGTTTAATGTGTACGAAGCAAACAGACGGCACTCACATTTGTTTTGACAGCAGTTTACTGTAAATAGGTCTATGCAAGACATTTGAACAAGCAATATCTTACCTGTTGTAGATAGCTCTTTAACAGCCTCTATTTGGAGAAATTCAGTTTAGATTACTGGACTGATGAGACCAAAGTGGATTGCTGCCATTTTAAAACAATCCCCATCACAAAACATTTATATCGGATGATGAAAATATTATTTTATAAACCCATACATCAATGTTAGTTTTTCATTACATAGTTATATTCATAAAGTTTTATGGTTATTTGGCAGCTAGCAGTAGTGCCTCCTGCAGGAATATCATAAGATTTATGCCAGAATAAATGAAAAGTGCACAATTGAAAGTAAAAAACAATATTTATAAATTAGCAATCGAATGAAGGACTTGTACGTTTTTAATGTTGGAGTTGTTTTAAGGCAGCAGAAACTTTCATTTTCACATTGGTCTCAGTTCTGCTAAAAGTAGCCATTAGATTTTGTCAGAATTAAACTTTTCTCCAAATTATTGTTCAAAGAGATATCTACAACAGGTAAGATATCGCCTGTTAAGCTTTTCATTGAATTCCACTCCGAAAAATCTGAGCTATCTTAATAAAATTTACTTTGTGTTTAGGTATTAATGGGTAAATATGACCCTGTACCCACTGTGGACTTGTGGAAATTTCCATGAAACTCAGTACAGGTCAATAAAGCCCTTCACGCCCCACCACTGGCATGTTTTACTTGTAATTTATTTTATTAACCCTAAAACTATGGCATGCTTTTACGTCCTGGTCAACATTTTAATGTGTGCTCATAAATATCATCTAGTGGATTTTGGAACATTTCTTTTTCTAAAAATGGAAAATGGTTGTTAGTTTATAAAAATGCTTGATTCATGCCTCATATGTTTCTGTTTTTATTGTAAATTTATTTTAAAGTGAAGGATTCTGCCACCAAACTAATTTTTTGTGAGACTCTTTATCTTGCCTAGAGAGGCAGAGTCTACACTTGAAACTGTATCAGCGCACGACTGCACTGAGCCACGTGCATCTGGAGCGTTGCTGTTAGAGTTTGCCTGACCTCTGACCTAGAGGAAGTCCCTCGTGTCCGTGTGACAAATACAACAGTTGGGCGAGACTGTTAAGCTGTGATCTCGATTTGCTGTGACTTTTCCGCTCGACTCATTTATCAAACTCAGTCAGGAGAGTAGAAAGAGGAGAGGATCGGGACGTTTCCTGCGTGATTGAGATGGACTTAAGTCAAAGCACTTGAGGAAGATTGATTAGATGTGGGCTGATTTATCGTATCAGGGAAAATAGAACAGAGCAGTTGTTTTAATCTGAGAAGCCATATGCTACAAAGCTGAGAGAATCAGTGAAAATCCAAAGTTAGTACTTGAAGTGAAAGTGATCCAAGAGGTCATTGTGAGAAAATGTGACAAGCTTTGTGTCTGTGCATGCCTAGAGAAAACGCTTAGAGACATAGAAGTACATGTGCGAGTTATTATGTGAAAAACCGCTTCTAGATGCTGTGGCCACAGCATCTACTAAAATGGACACTGGCACATGAAAGTGTATCCACAGCAGGAAATGAAATAGGGAGGAAGGTTAATATCCTGGAACTATATCAAGGACAGGAGGAGGTAAGCAGCTAGCATAGGAACATGGGGAAACCCACCACAATAACAAAAGATGGACTGCCTTAGCTGAAAAGGAAACAGACTTGTATAAATGTGATCTTAAAGCACTTGATTACGTCATTCTTGAGCAATGGCTTCAATAAGGAGGTACACAAAAGGGGAAAACACTGACATTCCTCGGCTATATGTGGTGCCGCTGATGAGGTTTTATGATTCCTGGCTGTGTTTGAAAATAAAGTTCTCTGGAAAAGTGATGGGCCTTCTCCTCCCACTTTCTCTCTTCTTTCTCTCCCACTCCTCTGACTCTGACTCAGACATCCAGTTAGCACAACTGATGATCATGAGCTTTAAAAAATGTACGGACAGGCACTGCTTGTGATGAATACGTTATCTATTTTAATCGGCTGAGAGAGCGCTGGAAAATGTCAGGCTCTGCTGAAGCTAAGCGTTGACTTTCACTTCAAAACAAGGTTTTTTGAGAACAAAGGTTGTGGAGAGGCTGGACGCCTGGCACTGTACATGTTGGGGCCATGGACTGGAGTGCAGTGCCTGTTTACTGTGATTGATGGTAATGGGGATCCACTTAAAGACAAGCATATCTGGGTATACCACACTAAGGGGTTGATCTACAGACCTGTGTAATGATCCGCGTCAGGGTCTGGGCATGAGAACATAAAGATAGTTGCCAATGATACATGGCATTGACTCAAACCCAGGGGAGAGTTGGCTTAAAATGACTTGTAATGTTTCTTTACCACCTTCGTAGAAGACAAAGTATTCTGATGTTAAGGAGCAGTAATACAACATTAGCAGACTTGACTCTGTGTATGACTTTTGTAGATCATTTATAAATAGATGACTAAAAAGATGAAGCAATTTAATATTCCCTATTAAATCTCAGATTCAGCCACGCTGCTTAACCCAAGTCACAAATATTACTCATGTTTTAGAGATTGGGGAGAAAATGTTGACTATTCTTATGGAGCCAAATCAACCATCAGTTAACCAACTTTTACTTTTACAAACACAGCATGCAAATCTGCAGGCTTGTTTGTTATAGTTTAGTTTATTTAAATTCTGTGTAATCAAGGCTTGGTCTGGAAGGGAGCTATTCCGGATTTGGGTTATTTTATTGATGTACATGGTAATTAGCTTGGCACTCGCTACCGCCTGTGGTTTTTGCTGCATGGGCTCCTCCAAAGGCAGCGGCTTTGCAAGAAGAGGACAAAAGTTTAAACTAACAGTCCTCAGAGCGAGCGGACTCTATGCAGACCTGATCAAAGTAAACCCAGGACTTGATCCAGAATGTTTAGGCTACAACTAGACTGATGTGCTAGCCTGTGTACTCTCAGTTGGTTTATTTAGAGAGGGCCACTTCTTATTTATGAAGCGCATACGTTGGTGATTTAAATGTATCCATTTGTGGTTAGGAACACTGCAATAACAATGGAAAATCGGCAAATCAAGTGTTGTTTGTATCTGTTAAATTTCTTATAACAAATCTATTTTAGCAGGGCACACAGATAGACCAAATCACTGTGTGGAACTCTGCTCGTTCTCATGATTTCTGCATAAAACTCCCAGCAGGAGAACTTTACAGGCTCTTAAATTAAGGCCATTAGCTGTTCATAATTAGAATGACTAAAAAAAGATGCTGGGGGGTGATTAATGTCTTCTCAAGGAGTTTTTGACAAGTAGCAAGACTGCTGGTTACAGTGAAAGTGAGTCGGGACCTTTTTGCTATAGTGAGACTTGTATTCTTGAAGCTCATGATCTTCTTTGGCTATGTGGTTGATTGTATTGGTTTGTGACTCACTCCATCTCCCACATTGTTGTGGACTGAGTTATCTCAGCAGCTTTAAACAGATTTCCTTGAAATCCTGTACAGGCATTGATTGTGTCCAGAGGGTGAAGTGTGATGATTTTCCTGTATCCTGTAACTTTTATGCTGGGCCCAGCGTAAAGTTCACAGTTGCAGTTATGTGATAAACTAGCCCATTAGACATCCATTTACCACCATTAATAAAGTGCAGTTAAGTCAGGGGTTGCTAAACCTTACTCATGCACAGTTACTGGATATGAACCAACTCAGTCTTATAAATAGCACCTTTGCATAGTGGGTCAACCAGTTTGATAATGCTAAGATGGTTTCTGGAGTCCGCCCTCTCCCCCACCGACTCATCTGAGGCAGCCATGGCCAAAATGGTTCTAACCACTTGAACCACTTTGTTGGAACTCTTTCAAGAGATTTCTTCATCCTTCTATCCATTATCTTTATCCGTTTCTTCCTTTCCATGTTGCTCAAGTTGCTGGTGCTACTGGTGTCCATGTCCAGCAGTTACTGTGAGAGGCAGGGTACACCTTGGGCAGGTTGCAAGTCCACCACTGCATAGAAAAGTGTATAAGACAAGGCTCTGTTATAGTCAAAATGTAGACACATTTTGTCTTTAGAGCCCAAGACCCCTGACTTTTTTGCTCATGTTTTCCCTGATATATCACATAGCGTTCAATATGTTGCGCAAGAGCTGTGCAAACGTTAAAGTTCAGTGATTACATGTGACCTAAATGTGTTGTCCAATTTGAAAGTTCTCTTTGGTCGTTGTACTTTCAAAGTAATACATAGTTATGCATTTGCAATAACAGAAAAATAATAGTTTGCAAAAAGGATACTTTCTGTAAGTCAGTTCAAGAAAACATGTTCTTTCTGTTTCCAGGTAGCTATCAAATCAATTCGGAAGGAGAAGATCAAGGATGAGCAGGACATGGTGCACATCCGCAGAGAGATTGAAATTATGTCATCCCTCCGCCACCCACACATCATCTCTATTTATGAAGGTGAGAGACTAGAACATATCTGGAAAACACAAATGTCTTGATAAATCATAAACACTTGTTCAACTTGAACACAGGTTAACAAGAAAGCACATGCATCCAAAATTTCCTCTTCCGCCAGTCCATGTAGCCAAGCTGCAGGACTGTCTTATTATGGCACGCATGTGTCATCTTAGGTTCTGGGCTGCAGCACCGGGATGTTATTAATCTTCTCTGTCTGGCTGCTTGGGCTAGTAAAAGTCTGGATGACTTTGGCCATGTGTGTCTGGCTTTCTCTGAATGTGTGTGTGTGTGTGTGTCTGCATGTGTGTGAAGATCTTTGGGTCTGTAAGAGGAGCGATGTTCTAAGAGATTGCCTTTCCCACATCTAAAAAGGTCTCATCCCTTGTCTTCTCTGGTCTTGATCTCAAGGCCAAACATCTGCTGATACTTAGAGACAACTGCAGCTGGGAACCAGACTCAACTTGTGCACGTGTGTGTTCATAGTCTTGGTATACTTATGTCTTGTTCTTTATGTGTTTGTGTTTGTGCATAGCTTGGGAATCACTTGACTGACTTCAGTGACCCAGGCTTGCACCCTGTCTGATTCCAGTCCAGTGCTATGAAGTGGGAGGAAAGGCCTTAAACCTTCCCCTGAGCAATGGAAACATAATTCTACCCCAGGAAGCAACTTTGTAAATATCAAAGCTTTCACTCTGGGCTCAGACAGCACCGACATTTATTCATTGGGCCCTTTTTAAATGACCTTAACCTTAATAGAGAATAACAGATAAGGATGTATGATGACTGTGAATCTTAAACAATTCCTATAGAACTTTAGAAACCTTGCTAACAGTTAATCATATCTTATTATATAGCCTAGCTCATGAGCAGGTAGTTATGGTCACAAGGCTCTGTAGTGGGTGTTGGTTTTAGATGATTTGTGGCTTGTGACTTTTTGTATGCCGTGTCAACAAAGCAGCAATTCAGTGCCATTTAGCTGCCCTGGCACAGTGACAGAAGGTTTTGTGCCACTGCCAAAACTAGTTACCCGCTGTCTTTTGTCCAGTTTTAAAGTCCCCAGATCTTTATTCATAATGTGTAGGTAAAAAAATGTCATTTGTCATGCCGATGTGCCAGGAGTTAGCCAGAGGGCTAAAGGGCAGCTGGGTTTTACGAGTTTTGCAAGAGAATGATTGAAAGAACACCCAGCTTTAAAAACTCAGACATGTTGAGTTTCTGTTTTTCTCTCGGTTTATAAGCAACCAACTCCACCAACAATCTCCAGCAGAGGCATTGCTCTTGCTTTTGGTGGTTCTCTTCAAACCCAGCGTTTACTGTTGTGGCCTGGCCTCCACCCAGCCTTGCTTGGTCGAGATATATAGGAGTCCTACAGATTTGTGTATCCGGCAACACCCTTTTCAACAGCCACTGCTAACTGCCTTGTGTGAAGCAAAGCTAAACCAGATGTGTGTGTGTGTGGAGATTGATTTTTTTCACTACTCCCTTACATTTTGCATCCATCAGCATGGGCACTTAGACGCAAATTTAGATTTTTCTTTTTCTTTGCAACTTAGAAAACAGATTTTTGATTTATAGGTTGTGGTAAATTCTCAGACTGACACAGCAAAATGAAACTGTTGCGTCATGCTTTTCTGTGTGATGACTAATAAAACTGGAAATTAGGTAAAGCTGTTCTTGTGAGAAAAAAATCTAACTTGTATGGAATTTAATGTATATTTTTTATTTGTACTAAAACTATGTTGATCATTAAAGTTCTATTATCTTATAGTCGCTTGTCGTTGCTGTAGTGTAACAACTTTAAACCAACTTATCTTACATTTTGAGTTCTGTCTGAATAATCAATATTTAGCTTCAGCTCTACCCTTTTTCAGACTTCAGGCTAAGCTAAGCTAAATGTTAGCCTCCATTAAATCAGTAAGATAAGATAAAATAAGATAAGAAAACTTTATTGATCCCGCAGGAAATGATGCTTTGAATTTTGTTGAACAGCTTTTTCCATTCATATGAAACTTTGAATTAGGAAGACATTTAGAATAAAGTTAGAAACAGCCTGAGAAGAAACTCACAATCAGAATGGTAAACATGTAGAACTATGAGAAGGAAATCATTTTGTGAAGATAACTCAGTCAGTGTAATATAGTCCAAATGAGAAGGAGACCCATACTCTTAAATGTTGCACTTATTTATTTAGACTTGTTTAAATCTGGGACAGCACAAAAAAACAATGTTACATGTTAAAACAATCAACCTCTGCTTTGTAGGTAGTGTCACTAGCCAAAGGCTAATTTTTAAACTTAGTTTCTTCTGACTCCTACCGAATCTTATACTGTATATCTTTAAAATACAGTATTACAAGTAAATAAAGGAAATGTTTTATAGCCTAATTAATCAAACAAAGTGCATATTTATAGCTCATTTGTCTGTTGCATACACCATTACAGTGGGTATGTTTACATGGACATAAGTAACCGGATCAAATGGCCGGTCGGAATAAAAGTGTGTCATGTAAACGCTCCGTTCGGGTTATTTTTTGTGTATTCGGCGCGATCCGTTATAATTTGTGATCAGAACGAAACGGGTGGTTTACGCCGATCCGAAACCCGATCGGTGCGCATGTAAACGCTTGATCTGTTCGTTTTTATCTGATGGTGAAAAACTGACCTGACTGCACATGTGCGACTTTGCCATTTGCCTGGCTAACGCTAATAATATTAGCATGTCAGGGAAGTAAAACTGGTCGGTGAAAGACACAACATTTCTACTAGAAACTTTTTAAAGAGCTCAAAATGATTTCTATTACCTGTAGCTCGTCAGGGAGTGCAATAACGTCTCCACCATCATTAAAACCTGTTGCGGGTCCATTTTGGGTGCTCAGGTTTGTTTACGTTCACCCGGAAGTAGAACTTCTTCTTCGGTGGTTTTTTTAAGGAGAGTTTACCACTCTGCGCATGTCAGTACTGCTGTTCAGAACAAAGCCCGCTGCATGTAAACGCTCATCATGAACAGATTGTGCCCATGTAAACAATACATTTGAATTATTCAAACAGAACACATTTCAATCCGGTCAGAGAATTCTGCGCATGTAAACATAGCTATTGATAATTATTCTCTTTCCAACGTGCCAATGTGGGATTTTCCATCAGTGCAAAACAATAGGTGCTAATTTGTCAGATAGGAGGGTGAATAAAGTTCAGTGAGTGACACAGAGGACTGTTGGGTGGCTGGCGTACCAAGCAGACCTTATCAAACCCAACTTTTGTAAGCCAGGTTCTTTCTTTTCTTTACCACCAGAGGTTAAAGGTAAATGGGAGTGTAAGCTAAGACTTGGCCCTCCAAGCACAAGGCCATCAAGGATCAGTATGTTTACATAGACATAAGTAATCAGATTAAGCAGCCATTCGGAATAAAAATGTGTCATGTAAACATAGGGTTGGACAATAATTCGATATCGACACAATATACTTTTATTTAATAACGGTGATATGAGTTTTAAGCACATTTTTGATATTTCAATAGGATTACTGCGTTTCACTGACGCATTTCTTTTTCTGTTCGGATTGAAGCGGCCGCATCAGTTTCTACCCGGACAGAAAAAGGTGTGACACAACTACGTAAGTGCGTGGTGACATAGATGATACACAGAGCTCGAGTCCAGAAGGCGTTAGCGGTACCAGGCTAGGCTAGGCTAATCTCCAACGCACGTTAAGTTTTCTCTTCAATATGAGCGCCCATGACCGTCAGAATGTGACAGAACAAGCTTTCACAAGCGAAGAGAAAGCAGATGACATAAATGATATGAGAGGAAAGACTAATTCGGCGGTGTGGAAGTGGTTTGGCTAGCTAAGATCTGATAAACTGCAGGTTTCAGTCAGTGTGCTGCAAAATGTGACGGAGAGTCGTTTCAACTAACGGCGGAAACATGTTTAACTCGTTCCATTCAATAGAATATGTGGAGAGTCAGAAGATGAAGCACAATAAAAGTTTGAGCCAACAACACCTGAAACAACATTGTTTCACAACACCTCCAGCTCTAAACAACACCTCCAGCTGTATCAAAAGAGAAACCCAGTTTGTTGCATGGGTTAGGGTTATATTGTTTAAAGTTAAACCTATTAATATTGACCAAGTTGAGAGTTTTATGTTTATTTGATGGTGAGTTCAAAATTTCTTTTGAAGGCTAAATACAGATAAAAGGTGAACAATTTATTTGTACAGTTTGTACAGTTTTTCTGAGGCTTTTATATTGTTTATATTGATATTGAATTATATTGTTATCGACCGAAATTAAGAAATATATCATGATACGTTTTGGCCATATCGTCCAGCCCTATGTAAACGCCTCATTCCAATTATTATTTGTTGATTCAGCTCGATATGAATGAATTTGTAATCCGAATGAGAGGGATGGTTTATGCTGATTCATAATCTAAACGGTGTGAATGTAAACACTTAATCTGATTATCTTATTCCAATTGTGGAAAACTGACCAGACTGCGCATGTGCGACCTATGTCTATTTCACGTATTTCCGCCTGGCTAGATGCTAATATGTCGGGGAAGCTAAACTGGTCGGTGAGCAACACAACATTTCTACTTTGAAAGTGCTCAAAATGATCTGTATTACCTGTAGCTCAGTCAGGGAGTGCAGTAACGTCTCCATCGTCATTAAAACCTGTCACGGGTTCATTTTGAGTCAGGTTTGCTTACGGTCATCATGGAAGTAGAACTTCAGTATTTGTTAAGGAGAGTTTACCACTCTGCGCATGTCAGTACTTCTATTCAGAATAAAAGTCTGCTGCATGTAAACGCTCGTCGTGAACGTATTGTGCCCATGTAAACAATACATTTGGATTATTAATCTGATTAAATTCCAATCCGATCAAATAATTTTGCACATGTAAACATAGCTACTGTGAATGTCGTCCTTGGTCCCTGCTCTGTCCACCAATCAAAAGGCTGGACCTGCTGTGCCCTCAGGAATGCTTGGCTTACTCCCCTTCTGTTATTTCCCTGATTGTGACTGTTCATTGCCAGACAGTCACAATCAGGGAGCATTACCGTCACTCAGCAACTGTGCGTTTTTGTAGAGGATTATATCTTTAAAAGGGATCCTGGGAGAGGAGAAAAAAGGGGGACAGACTATGAAGGTGCTCACTCAAGGGTGCAGAAAGTAGAGGCTCTCACCCTTGGTGACCCTGCTGTGTGGGAAAATCAAGATGGCCGACTGCGTTGATGTCATGTCCTCTGTGTTCCTTTGATCTTCATCTCGTTCTTTCTCTCTACCTGTCTCACATTCTCTTAATGAAAAGCTAATATTGCTTCTTTCAAAAAGTCATAACATTGAGCAACTGATTCTGTTTGACACAACACAAATGCAACACATTATTATTCATGTTGGAATATTTTTTAACATTCATGTTGAAACTTAATGATTGTCATTTTTGATTTGCTTTGGTTTTGTAAACTCAGTCACTGAAAGAAATAGCATAGATGTGAAACGTGTTTGGCCTGCAACTGCATCGTTGTTACAGCTGCAAATACAGTTCTGACTGCTTGAGGGAAACAGAATGAGAGGGATAAACAGCAGGACCGTTGCTAAACGTTGGTTACTTACTGTAACCCCAGATTCTATGAGTATAGGCGTAGCCCTTTAAGGCTGTCGCTAGTGGGTTTCATTTCGTCGTGCGCAGTGCAGCACTGAAAACTTTAGTCCACGCCCACCTGCTGTGTGGGTCTCTCCCCGGTCCGTATAAATTACGGTGAGACCGGATAATCGGCTCCCAAGTAGCTTTTTTTTTTACAGCCATTTAGGAACCAATGAGGCCCAGAGCTTAAAGGGCTATGCCTATACTCGTAGAATCTGGGGTTATAGTACGTAACCAACGTTCTATTTCGTATACGCTTCGCCCTTTAAGGCTGTCGCTAATGGGTTAAAGGCGAAGCAGGATGTAGTCTATGCCTCACTGGGTCCGTTCAGACACAATATGAAGCGCCCGCTTACCCCAAAAAACATTTCATCACTCAGCCTTCTCTGCGCACCATGCACAGGAGCACCCCGGAGAGAAAAAGTTTTCGACAGGGAAAAAAAGGGGAAGGCTGAAAGCAGTCCTGCTGCCGAGAATGGAAAAGAACAGAGGTTACAATTGTAACCGTGTAACAGTGAGCAGAGCAGATCAACAGCTCTTCAGTATGAACAGATTAATAATAAATTAACTGATTAATAATCGGATGAACTGATTGGTAACAGTAGTCATGAACTGATTAGTAACAAGCAAAAACAGCAGTCACGGTGACTTTTAAAAACCTGTTTTGACGTTACTGGCTCGTTTTGTGTGGAGGATGTGTCAAGAGAAGCAGCTGTGAGATCATTCGATCTGACAGTCAGGCTGGAATCAGACACTTTATTCTCTGAATGATGTTTTCATTTTATTTTAAAACTCAAGTCATCATTATACACACACACATCCTCCGCAAGGAGTCATTTCTTGTATCTTCTCCCTCGTGAGCCCTGCGACTGGTTGTTCCAGGGCGGCGCCTGTTGGCGGTCTCTGGGGAAACGCTGAGCCGCTGGTTGCCGCAATGAGAAGGACTGTTCTCTGGCGGGAGGGGCCGGCGGCAGAGCAGGGCAGGAGGACGCCGCTGCAGCTGTGCAGCATCTCTGCTGCTGCCTCTGGCCACGATGATCTCTCCAGCGGGCATGGGGGGTGGGGGGAGGGGTGCGGCTTCATCAGGTGACGCCCAGTCTCCGACACCTCCTCTGACTTCTTCGACTTTTCAAGCATGGCCTTGAATTTGGCCCAGAACAGCGCGTCCGTCATGATGGGGCTCTCCAGCAGGTCTTTCTGCAGTTTCTCTGGCAAGGAGGGGGAGTGTCGAGCCAGGTGGACCTCTGGATCATTGTCATCCAGGCGGTGGTGCGAGACAGGCAAACCACAGAGGAGGCGCACAGGTTGAGGATGACGTCAGATGCTTTGCAGAGCGAGCTCCTCATCTCCTCAGGCAGGTCTGTGTCCTCCAGCCTTTTGGAGATGCTGTAGGCCAGCAGGGCAACATTGTTGTTCACTGCAGCCGCCTGGAAAGCACACTGGTGGGCTCGGTTGGAGAGCGACGTCACCGTCTGGTCGTGTCTCCCTGGAGGGACAAGACGCTGGTCCAAGCTGGACACTTTTGCTCCGAGTGCTTCTGCCAGGCTTGGCTCCAGGGGGGGTACCGAGGGAAAGTTCCGCTCAGTAAACCCCTCCCCTCTGGTGATGGGAGCAAAGGTGGAGATGGGCGCCTTCAGCTTACCAGGTCCGGCTGCAGCCTCGTTCCAGTAGGACGTCAATGCTGGGAAACGAGGCCAGATGGGGTTCAAGGCGGTCAGCCGGGGTGGAGCCAAAACTTCCCACTAGATCATCCGATCTGGGCGGGAGGAGGAGAGGGACGGAAAGTCCCTTCGTGTCAGACGCCTCCTGGATTATGCCGGGCAGCTCCGAGAGGAGAGAACCGACGGCTGTGTGTTCGCCAATGCGGAAAGGCCCGGTGGGGGGTTGGGGGGGTTAGGGGGGGCATCCACTTGGCCCCCCCTGTTCCAACACTACGCTCTCCAGGAGGGAATGAGCAGCAGGGCTGCTGCTGACGTCACCTTTTCTGGAGGAATCATCCGATTCGCTCCGTGACTCGGCATCAAAAAAGGCGATGGCGTTGTCCAGCGAACAGTCCCCCGTCATGGAGAGGCACTCCTCATGTTAGCCTTGACCAAGGCTGCTCGCCTCTGCCTCTCCTCAGGAGGGAGGAGGTCACAGAGATGGCAGGAGGAGGCAAGGTCGGCGTGGCAGGGATCTAGGCATCCTTCACAGATGTCGTGCCGGTCAAAGCTCAGCATGTAGCCGGTCTTGCAGGACAGGCACAGGCGGATGGTGCTGGTTAAGGACATCGTGTTCTTGTAAAAGCAGTGCTGGTTGCTTGCTGAAGAAAAATGGGAGCTGATTATCCGGTCTCACCGTAATTTATACGGACCGGGAAGAGGCCCACACAGTAGATGGGTGTGGACTAAAGTTTTCATTGCTGCGCGCGACGGGATGAAGCCCACTAGCGACAGCCTTAAAGGGCGAAGCCTGTACGAAATAGAACCCAAGTTTACATTTATAGTGAAACTAGCTTTTCTTCTGTGTTTTAGCCATTTGTGTACACAACACCAACAGTTGTTTCCTCTGAAACACAAGCTTTTTGAATATAGGTCTCGGAGCAGAACTTTTCAGAGTTCCTGCAGAAGTATAAGGGTGGTTCACACCAGCCCTGTTTAGTCCGCTTTAATCAAACTCCAGTCTGTTTGCCTAGAAAGTCTGGTTCGTTTGGGGAGGTGTGAATGTGCAATCAAACTCTGATGTTGACCAAAAAAGCGAACTCTGGTCCGCCTAAAAACCTTGGTCTCGGTTCAGTTGAAGTTAACTCTGGCGCAGTTCAAATGCAATGTGAATGCAAGCGGACTGGAGACCGCTCCAAAAGCAGGAAGTGGACTACAGCACAGGGCATTCTGGGTAAATACAACCAAAACAAATGTGCATTTCTCATACCTCATACGGAGCCATCTCAGCTGCCTTGTGTGAAAAACAACATTCTCCATGGTCTTCTGCCTCATCTTCCACTCATGCTGAGTCCATTGTTGAAAAATGACAAAACAGAAATCCTAAAAACTGCTCAAATTTGACGCCACTCCATTTTTGTTTGTTTTTTTCCAGAAGAAATGTCTTCTTCAGAGGTTTTTGTGTCGTTTCCTTCAGTAGTTCTTGGTGCAGCGCCACCACAGGCAAGGGGGGGAACAGGTTGGCTCGACTGATTTTGTGCAGTGTGAATGTGAACCACACCAGCTGAAAATGTAAACAAATGTTTTGAATATTGCTCCCCAATCGAACAGAGTCTACTGGACTATCAGGCGTGAAAACAACCTAAAAACATGGAGCACTATAGGCGGCTGCAGTCAATAGTTTTTCTGCACTCGCGCAAGTAGATGAACAACATACAATTAATGGCAGAGAGTAGAGTGCTGTTTATGCTACTCATCCTTTTTCAGCATGTAGAAGCAAACCAACAGCATCCTTGGCCCAAAGGAACATTTCTGTATTCACCAGTTTGGATGTAACTGTTCATGCTGACACTGCATGCACAGCTTGTTGAGAGCCTGACGTCATAGTTGCCAGATGTACATAATGCATGTTTTTTTTGCCCCTGTATAAAACATTATACAGGCAGGTAGTGGTTAGAAATAATGAAATGGATGTTAAAATGTGGTGTACCATGCCTCACTTTTCTTTTTCTTAGTTCTTTCTGCTTATTCTTGATACTTTTGTGTCCACTTAATTGATTATTGGTTAAAATATTTTGTTCATGGTTATTTTTTTAACCTTTCTCCTCTAATTCTGGTTCCTGAAATGCGATTTTGATTCTGTTAACCACATCTCCCTGCAAAGTTGTGGAGGAGCCAGATACATGGGGTGGGGTTTGGATGATGTAACCCCAGGAGTGGTGAATAGATGTAATGTTCTCCTCTGGAATTTGCTCTAAAACTAAATGGGGGATTTAACTTAATTGCTAACTTTACTTTGGAACTTTCACTTTTGTTTTCAACATAAAATTAAACCTGGAATGGCATTAAAATGTGTTTAGTTGTCCTTGTAGCTTTGCGTTTTCTGCAACTAAATATTAACGCAGTCCAAATATTTTCTTATCATGTTTCAGTGTTTGAGAACAAGGACAAAATTGTGATTGTGATGGAGTATGCCAGTAAGGGTGAGCTGTATGACTACATCAGTGAGCGCCGGCGCCTGAGCGAACGGGAGACGCGACACTTCTTCAGACAGATAGTGTCTGCTGTGCACCACTGCCACAAGGTGAGAAAAACATACATTCATTTACGGATCAAGTTAAATAGACCTTTTTTATTTTTCTTTACTACTTTTCCCCTTATAAAGGCTTTGTTTTCCAAGCCTATTGTTACATGAACCATTCACCTCAAAGGCAGCCATATAGCAAGTTAATCTGCAGATCCTACACAGTATGCTTTTCTTGGCACACTGGTGAGAAAGAGTCATCTGTTCAAGTTTAGTGAAGAAAGAACACAGGCCAATTTAATTCAGGCTTATTACAGGACAGTGCAACAAACAGGCTCCGCATAAATTCTGTGCTCAGACTCTGATGGATATACCAAGATTCCCCCCGGGCTTTTCCCAAGGGATTTAGCTCCGGCCACACCCATGTCAACCCAATGTTCCACACCTCCCTGACTCCCACGAAAGCCCGTAATGTCGCATGATTTGTTCGGAGGGACTCCCCTCTGTCACACTCGTCCCAGCTGGAGATAGGGCTGACATCATTGCCCTTAGATAGAGAGAGTACCAGACAGCCACAAACGATGAGTCATCACCACCAAGCGCAACCTCCTGCCGGGTGGGGTGGTGTGAGTCACTCACACAACAAGAAAGCAATCTTTTTTGCATCTACCAATTAGAGTCATGCAGTGGGGAACCCTCAGGGCCCACTACACCTTCAGGGAAGGCCTAAGAATTCAGCACATATGAAATGCTACTTTTTTTTTTCATTTACTCTTTATTTATACAGGTAGTCTCAATGAGCCACGAGAACTCATTTTCAAGAAAGACCTGTTTAGGAAGCAGATGGTGGGGGTTAACGGCCTTGCTCAGAGGCCCAGAGTGGGGTAAATGAGGGTGGAGGCAGGTGGAGGTGTTTCACCTTTTCTACCCGCATTTTGATGTTGACGGTACTGGGAGTTGAACCTGCGACTTTCTGATCACAGGCCCATCTTCTCTAACCTCTGCACCACCACTCCCCCATAAAGAGATCAGAGATTTAATTCAATTCAGTTTGTTTATATAGCGCCAAGTCACAACAGAAGTCGTCTCA